CGACGCGTTCCCGAGGTGCGGGTGGGGGTGGATTTCGCGCGCACGACGTTAGGCGCGTTCGCCCGGGAGCTTGTGGAGGGGGCGCTTCATTTCGAAAGCCCCTCCATCGCCTGCGCGGGACGCGTGATTTACGAGGCGGGGGAATACGAGGCGCTGGCGGGATCGACGCTGGATCGCTTCGCGCGCGCCCTCGGTGGCGTCGAGGGGGGCGAAAAAGCGCGGATGCCAGGGGATTCCGCGAAGGAGGGGGGCGATTTCGTCCGCCGTTACGCGCCGTTGGTGATGCTCGTGGATGGGATGAACAAAGAGGTGGAATGGCAGGTGGTGGTGGGGCACGTGGACGATCCGAGCGGGAAATCCGTGGATGCCGCGCACGAAGGGGGGGTTCCTTCGTTGAGGTTTTCGCTCGATGGTGTGGCGGAGGCCGTGGCCTGCGAGGCCGCCGTGCTGGCGAGGCTCGCGCAAAAAAAGGCGGAGGAGATCGAGAAATCAAACGAAGAACAGGCAAATGGCCCTCCCGCGGGATTGATTTCTTCTCCAGAGAATCCGGTCGAGGTGGACGCGAGCGAGGATGAGGGCGGCGAGGTCAAGAACGATGATGGGGTGGACGTTGTGGAATTGGACTAAACGTCCTAGAAGCACATCTACATCGGAATACCTTTCCATAAATCCATCTATATAGAGAGAGAAAGAAAGAAAAAAACTTAGGGAAAAAGAGAAGAAACGATGGGGACGCAAACACGCACCCAGAAGAAGATACCTTTTTTCCCAAGCCATTTTCATCACCCGAATAAAATACACTCGAACGGTCATTTGCCCCTACTGTGCAAATCCTTTGTTGTTGATATTCGTTGTTTTCATTCTTAACGACATACCGATGTACGCATCTGTGGAAGTGTTGAACGGTTGGAAGTCCGATGACCTATTCGAGGGAAAGTCATTTTTCCGAATGGGATCCATTACTGCTCATCCAATCAACTCCTTGGCAGAGACGCAAACAACAAAGCACTTAAGAGTATTGCCTCAGTAGAGATATAGAGAGAGGCGAAGTTCTGTGTGATAAATGATCTCTGTAAATTACTCTGATCAACCTTTTGAGATTAATAACTATGTATTTGTTTACATTTCAATGTGGCAAGTGTGACTGCTTAGCGTATGTCGTTTCACCCTATCATTTCTGCTCCTCCAATTTCTCTCTCTTGACCTCCCCTTTCCTTGCAAAAAAAAAAGGAAAAAAGTGAGCAGTAAAAAGAAAACGTTTGATTAGCGAGTTGAGTCGTCGTAGGGATTAATATTCACACAGTGTTCTTTTCTTTTCTTTTCGTCTTCTTAAGCGTCTAACATCATCACATATTGGGCTAATTATGTTCCGGTGCCCAACCCTATCCTAACAATAGCGCAACACACTAAGTCTCTTTTCCCCTTGTTTTTTTTTCCTCTTCCCAACCGGAAACCGACAACCAACCCTCATTGACCCCTCCCCCCCCCCTCCCCCCCTTTCTTTTACTTTTTTTCCTCTTTTTTTCTCCTTTGGTTTCGTTTTTTCTTTTTTTTTGAGGGGGAATGCGGGTGCTGCGGGGGTTTCGTTTCCGTCGGGCGGCGAGTTGCGTCGTTGGGGGGGTTGGGGTTGCCGTCACCGGCCTCCTCCTCCTCCCACGGGAGGCCCTCCCCCCGGCGTTGCTCGCGCATCGCGTCTTTCTCGACGGCATCGGCCGCGTCGCGCGGTGTGGGGTGGTGGGGGTGGGGATTTACCTCGATTACACCCTCAGCCTCCGCGGAATCGAGGACGGATCCCCCGACGAATCCCCCGACGACGCGCGAAATCGCCAGGCCGCGTGGGAGGCGGTGCATCAACGCAGCGCCGCCCGGCTCGTCCGTCTCGCGGAGCGCAACGGCGGCCTCTAC